CCCCTCCGCCGGCCGCGTGGCGCGGAGCGCGGCCCGGGAGCGGCTCGCAGCGCGGAGACCCCCGGCGGGCTCGGGCCGCCCCCTCCCGTCCCGGAGCTGCTCGGCCGGGGCAGCCGCGAGCCGAGGGGCTCCGTGGCGCGGAACACCGGGAATCCCCGTGGGATCGCGGAGGTTTCCCTGCTCTCCCGTCGTTTTCCGCCGTGGTTCCAACAACCTTGGGAAACGCCCCGCGCTTGGTCCCGAGCCCGGGAACGGGCACGGACGGGCGCACGCGGCACTTTAGTCCCGGGGTTAAACCCTGCTGCCGGCCTGGCGGGACTCCCGTTTCCTGGTGAGCGTGGAAGGGAAGCTGGCTGCTGGAAAACGACTCCTCGTGTCGGTCGTGGCTGTGCGCGCTGCTGCTGCTTTACCAAAAACCGTGAGATTTGAGGCTTGTTTTCGAGGTTAACGAGCCCTGCTGTTGTGTCTGAGCCCTCGTGTGTCYTGAGGCGTTGGACAGCATCTCGTTAGAGTAAAACAAAACCCCCCATTTGTGTCATTGTACATTAGTTTYATTATACAGGCCAAGCAGGAGCTTAGTTGTGAGCTACAGGTGTCTCCCGACCAGAACTGTTGATTAACCTTCGCTGTGGGGTTGATTTTGTGACGTGACGTTCTTCCTTCCTCCCCTTGGTGGATTTTACCAGCCAGGTGCGGGTTGACCTTGGTGGTAACGAGTTGTATTTGGCGTCTAGCGGCACCCAACGAGTTGTGTTTAAGTGTGAGGACAAGAACGGTGGCACTGCCTGGCGGTACCTGCTACATAAACAGGCTGTTGTGAGCCTGGAACCGGGCGCGCTGCTCGTTTATCGTTGGTCCAAAACCCTGCTCTGTTTCACCCTTGTGCAGACCCCTGGCCTGGGTACCGCCGCAGGGCACAGCCGGCAGCGGGGCAGCAGCAGGTTGGTCTCATTGACAGCTCAGCTTCAATTACCTGGTAGTCCCTGAGCTGTAGGATCCAGCTCGGTTGGTCTCACCGACCGCGAGTGCCGGCGTTGAGGATGGAATGGCTCCAAGGGGCCGGGGAGCAGCCAGCTCGGGCATTGGCGCTGCTCCAGCCGCAGGACAGGCGGCTCATGCCCCTGCTCAGAGCTGGCCCTGAGCGAGAACGCCTCGGTTTCGTGGGAGAGCGGAGGGAATGGCGGTGCTCGGCTCCGCAGGGCGGCCGCGTGCAGCTGAAGCGCCACTGACGCAGCGAGGGCCCGTTTGGAGCCGGGGATGGCTCTCGCGCTCCGTGCTCGGCCGGCGCCGAGGGCGGCTGCGATGGGGTAGGAACAGCCTGGAAATCTGCCCTTGGGGGAGTTCTGCACGCTGCGGCGTTTCCAAGCGCGCGCGCCGCGCTCTGCATGGGAACCGGAGCGGCCGCTTCCCGGGACGGAGCCCGCGCCACGCTCCACTGCCCCCTTAGCTTCCCCCGTGGGCATCCGGGGATCCCCCCGGCTGCCCTGCGGGGATCCAGGGATCCCCCGGGTGGCATCCAGGGATCCCCCGGGCTGCTCTGCTCTGCTTGGGTCTCCTTTGCTCTTCGTTTGCTCGGGGAGCCGTCCCTGGGGCTTAGCAAAATGACCCGTCCCGTCTTCTTTCTGGGAATCCACAGAGATGGGTCTAGGGTGCGTTAGTCTTGAACACAGAAGTAGTAAAGGGAACCAGGCAGGTGGCAGGGGGAGTGTTTTGTTTTTGCTGTGGTTGCTCGTTTTCCTAGAGGCTCTTAAATCTCCAGCAGGCTGAGCTTAGCTAGATCGGAACGGGGTCCTGGGCTTTGGGACGCTTCTGTTTTGCTCAGACTGGTGGTCCTGCCCCAASAGGGCCGGATACGTCGCGTCCTCTGCCGACCCGCTGGATTCTTTGGGATCATTTCTTGGGATCCTTTCTTGTTGGGTGCAATTATCGCGTCCTGCTGAAGAGCAAAGTGTTTCCCTTTCATGATCCCAAGTGTTCCGAGTTTCTTCTTGCTCTGATGGTGYGAGCATGAAGTTAAATTATTCACTAACAGTGAGAACTGTGAGAAAAGCAGAACAAACTCAGAGGGCTCCTGCGTCTGAACAGACGGGTGTTTATAATAAAATTTACAGTCTTCTGTATTAAAAGCCAGAAATAGAGCAGTAGCTCCCAGTAATGAATGTTGAGTGTGGGAGGGTAAAATTCTGGTATTTTGTGTTGCAGAATGACCCTCTTGTGTCTCCTTGAAGTCTGTGTGTGTGAATCCCAGACTTTATTAGTAATAGCTTCCCGTTTAATTCTTCCTAAGTGACAGTGACGCTGTAATTAGCCCACACAATAATTCCCTGTTTGCTGCTGTTTCCCTGGGAGAGTCTGGGCTGTTTTGGAGGGGCTGGGGGGAAGCAAACAAACACCAAGGTATTGAAAAACTAGTGCTACTTTTGTGGAAAAGCTGGTGCTTTTGCTTTCATTTCACCRAGAACTGCATGAGAATTTAGCTAATGCCCTGTCTCTACTGGGGATTAATTAGTGTTATCCAAATCTTTCTAAAGCCGTGCTCTAAACAAGTTCTGTCTTAATTTGCCTCACTAGTCCGGACAAGGCAAATATCAGGATTTTGGGGTCTTTTTGGCTCYGTTTTGAAAGCTTTGCTTGCCGTTTATGGTGGGTAATATAGATGGCAGAAGTACCATTAAATGAGATTTTTGAACTAGCAGTGTCCTGTGTGCACTGGGAGCAGTGTCCTCACCTGGACAGGCTTTCTGCAGAAGTAAATGGGGAAGGGTTTTTCTGCAGTCCTCCAATGAAGGGGAAGGGGCTCGGGAGGCTGTTGCTGAACCTGTAGCTCAGTGCACTCAAGGAGCAGCAGTCACGGAGCTGGGAAGCAGTCTGCAAAAATGTGAATTTCCTCTGAAATTGTCCGGTGCGTCTGGCTCCTCGGGGAGCATCTGGAGGCCTCGGAGCTGCTCTCTCCGGGAGGAGCCTTGGGAGGATGGATGGGCTGCGGGGCTCCCTTTCCAGCCCATCACTGCAGCTTTTACATGAGCCCTTCTCTTTCTTCTCCTTCCCTCATGCACTCTTTTCTCTCCTCTAGGACTATATCTGCCCTCGGTGTGAGTCTGGTTTTATTGAAGAACTTCCCGAAGAGCCAAGGTAATGTGCAGCTCCCAAATGTTCTTGCTAGAGCAAACTAGTCTGATTGCCCTACTTGCTTTCGTCTTCTAGATAAAAGACAGCACTGCGTACCAAACACACTATTTTCCTTTTTTCTGGCCAGTATTTGACTTCTCTTTTTTCATTATGGTTGAATTGGCAGAGTTTGCATCTACAGGTACATGGTTTGTGGGAATGCTGCGTGTCGTACCCTGCTGGGAAACATGGGGAGGARAGGATTTAAAGGATATAAGAAAGAAAACGATGGCAGGGGCTTCCCACGTGGAACGCGGTGGCTCTACCCGTTTCGGGTTATCGTGCAGAGATACTGGGCGACACAGACTGCAGACGGAAGGGTGTCCCCGTGCGCCGCTGCAGGCCCCGCTGTCTCGGTGCGCAGACCGGACGGGCTGCGTCTTGGCCGGCCCTTGGACTCTGCACCGAGCGGCTCCGTGTTGGCGCGCGCGGCCGCCGAGCCGGCAGCGCGTTCCGCTCGGATCGGCGCCGGCGGGAGCGGGGCAGCGCGGGAGGCTGCTCCTGCCCAGGTTGCTGCCCACTGGTGTTCGTGAAGCTGGGGGCAGCCGTCCTTGCCAAATGAGGGGTTTCTGCACYGAAAAGGGGGTGTTGCATCTGGTTACTGAAGACTGGAAATCAATCCTAGCTAATCCGAGCTCTCCTGATCATTTGATGCACTGATGGGACAATCTCTTAATCTTTAAACCTTAGTTTTTTGTTGTCTTTAATGTCCGAGTATAGACGTGAATCCTGAGGAGTGAATGCTCCTGCAGCCCTCCCAAAGCAGGAGCCTAAGAATACTAGGATTTTCCTGATAATCTGCCCCATATCCTTCTCTGGTTACATGACTTGGCAAGAAAGAAATTCCTTTGACCCAAGATTAGGCTTAGGCGTGTTCGGGTCACAGTGGTCAGGGTTTGTACCTTAAATCTTCTCTTCCTGGTGTTCCAGAGGATTRGCTGGTTAGTTTGAGCTGGATTGTGCAGGGGATCCTTGCTTGGCACCGTACTCGAGCGARTTCCCTGTAGCTGTACGAAATCAGGAGCTAAAAGGGTGGGAAGAGGTGGATGAAATTGCAGGAAAATGAGAGCTGTGGAGAGGGTGAAATGAAGATTGATGTGGAAAGATTAAAAAAAAACCAAAAAACAGCTGAGGTGAGGCTGGAGTCTGGATGGGCTGGAATTGCTCCTGCCACAGAGGAGAAAGGGAGGCCGGCAGATTCCTGAGGTCCCCCCTGGCTCTGTGCAAAAACGGGCCTGTTAAAGCGTGCACTGTAGCTGAGCGGCTGCCCTGCCTGCTCCCCGTGGCGAGATCCAGGCTGCTCGACCCTCTGCCTTCGAGCGCCGCTCACGCGCTCTGCTCTTCCCAGGAACCCTGAAAACGAGACCAGCTCCTCGGCATCTACGGGCGAGCAGAGCCGGCATCCTTTCGAGGTAAGGCTCCTTGCGAGGGGAGCGCTCGCTGTCGTTGCCCTCGTTGCCACTCCAGTATTTTCTGTTAGCAGGTTGTTTAACCATTCCCAGGGTTTTGACAGCGTTTAGGGAAGGATGTATTAATATCATTCACATACTATGCCTAAAATGTCTGTATGTATTATGTCTACTGTGTGATTTTTGTTAGAACCATCCCTCATTCTTGTTGTGAGAGGGCTAAGCTGGGGTTTAGTGAGCTGTCCAGGTGTGTTGCTGTGCAGTAGGCTCAGCTTAAAAGGCACTAGTTACAGCAGCTACAGAGATACCGGGGAAGTCATAGTGACCGTTTCCTACTTTCTTAGGTAGCTTCAGTCTGTGTTGCCCCTTCCTCACTAAGTTACTTCTGTTGTGCACGGATACCCGTGTTAACCAAGGTTTGGGAGCTGCTGGGCATCCAAAGAGGCTCGTCCTTGTTGGAGGGCTAGAGAAATGCCAGCGGTAGAAGCGAAGAGCTGCTTCTCCTCTCGTTACGATCTGCTCCTTGAATTCTCCCCCTCGCAGAATGTGGATCAGCACTTATTCACCTTGCCGCAGGGCTACGGCCAGTTCGCCTTYGGGATTTTCGACGACAGCTTTGAGTTTCCTTTCGGGTCCAATGTGCCATCGGAAGACAACCGGGACTCGGAGAGCCGGCGGGAGCGCGAGCACCAGTCCCGGCACCGCTACGGCGCGCGGCAGCCCCGCGCCCGCCTCGCCGCGCGCCGCACCGCCGGCAGGCACGACGGAGTCCCCACGCTCGAGGGGTGAGCGCGGCTCCCTGGGGTGGTGGGAGCGCCCACGGGGGCTCGTCCCAGCCCGCCTCTTCCCCACAAAGGTTGGAGGACTGGTGGTGGTATTACCAAAACGTTGTGTTAATTGCGAGAGGAAATAGAGAGCGCTGGAGAATGCGACTTGGGTTTCTTTTATGGTATCCTGCAGAGCACTTKGGCACCTTAATCAGAAATCTTCCCCTTCTGGATAAATTACCCAAATTTGCCTTTAGGAGTGAACGGTGAGCTCCTAAGGTGTAATGGCCTTTGCTACAGGAAATTGGTTTGCCTTTTCTCCCCCACCGATGGACCAGTATTTAGCCGTTCCTTCCTTGTCAGGGTGCTGGGCTGGGGACTAGCAGCTACTGACTCTCACTTGATCCTCTTTTTGTTGCCTTTCAGAATTATCCAGCAGCTGGTCAATGGAATTATYGCACCCACAACAATACCAAACCTAGGGCTCGGTCCTTGGTGAGTAGGGTGCTGAACTGCTCTTTCTGGCAGTGTTCTTGCTGCTGCTCACRTGGAATTTAATTATTGTTCTTATTCTTAAAGGGGAGTCTTGCATTCAAACCCAATGGACTATGCCTGGGGTGCAAATGGCTTGGATGCAATTATCACACAGGTAAAACTGGCACCGTAATGGGCTCCCCTACCCCTTGTGCAGCGCTSTAAAACTGCGGGCGCTTGTTGTGATGCGGGGAAGCAACCTACYGAAGTGGCAGAAATGGGAGCCGGGGCTCACAGTGCAGGGGGTGCTGGGTTTGAGCACGCTGGTCCAGCACCTCGGCACGGCCCTGCCCTGCTCGGCTCACATCTGCTTTCTGCCTTCTGCGGCCTCTTGTTTTTCAGTTACTAAATCAGTTTGAAAACACTGGACCACCACCAGCAGACAAAGAAAAGATTCAGGCCCTGCCCACTGTACAGATCACACAGGAACACGTAGGTATGTGCGTCTCTTCCAGGGAATGTTSAGAGAGCTGTGTTGCTTCTGGGAAATGGGCTCTTGGGATTTTAATTTTGTCTCCCCGTGCCTTGAAGGTCTGGAGCTTTTCAAAGCAGGGAGAAAACTTAAACGTTTGCTCTGTTACGCTCGCACCAGGAAGAGAGCAGTGTAGGCTGGCGGAGGCAAACAGCCTCTTCCGAGGGCTGCCTGTGGCTGGAGGTGGAGGCTGCTGGGGCTCTGGGGCTCCGGGCAGGGCAGGAGGCCGCGCTGCATCCTTGGCTGTTGGTGCTTGCAGCCCTGCAGTGAGCCCGAGGACCAGCAAGTTGCTCGTATTTGTTGGTGTGATGGCCACAGGTAGCACGTGGGGAGCGTTGTTACACGCGTGTGCAGCCGCACTCGCATCTGCTGCTTAAATGTGTGTTTCAGAGGAGCAGGGCAGAAGCGGTGAAATTCAGGGCGCTGAGGGATGGGTTGGGTGGAGGGAACTGCCGAGCAAAAAGCTCCCCCGTGTGCAGGGCTGGAGCGGCGGGAGGGTCGGCAGCCGGAGAGCTCGTGGGGAAGGGCTGCCAGGATCCTGCGCTCGGCCCTCGGGAGCCGTCCCTTTATCATCTGTGCGTTGCTTTCTGTGSTGCAGACTCCGGGTTGGAGTGTCCTGTGTGCAAAGAAGACTACACAGTTGGGGAAAACGTCCGGCAGTTACCTTGCAATCATCTATTCCACAACAGCTGCATAGTCCCCTGGCTGGAGCAGGTTAGTGCTGTCCGAGCAGGTCGCTCGCGTTTTGTGGCAATTGCGCATTTTCTGCTAGTGCTGTTCTCTAAATATTTTCCTACCTATGTTGAGACCTAAATGTGAGCGGCCTTTGAGCGGAAGGAGAGCGATCCTAGCCGGGTTTCTAATCCTGTTTCCCCTATTTCCCGCTTTGTTTTTGTCTGCTCTCCAAAGCATGACACGTGTCCTGTGTGCCGGAAAAGCTTAAGTGGACAGAACACTGCCACAAACCCCCCGGGACTCACAGGGATGAACTTCTCCTCCTCCTCCTCCTCCTCTTCCTCCAGCTCACCAAGTAACGAAAACTCGTCGAACAACTCATGAATCTTAATCCGACCCTCTGTCCCTGGGGCCCTCCCCGCTCTCCTCCCTCCCTCCCCAGCCAACATAAGCAACGAAAGGGGCTTCCAGAGCAGAGCCGGGGAGGGGGGCAGGGGGCGCAGGACCCCCAGAAATCCCTTTTGCGTTCTGGAGACACGGAGACTCCGGGCTCTTCGGGGACGGGAAGCCTCGATTCCGTGACGTGGGGGAGAGCTCTGTTCATACATCCCTTGGCCACGTGGACTCGCAAAGGTTGCAGTGAGAGGCTGCTGCGCCCACGGATGGGAAACGCGGCGCGGAGCCAGCGGGCGCGGTGCGGATGGAAAGGTGCTTTGTGTGGGTTTGAGTTCGAGATGCCTTCCTTGCTTTCTTTTGCCCCTCCTCCTCCCCTCGGACACCATCTCTTCCGCTTTGGAGAGCGAAACCGTTAGAATGAGAGCGCGATCATACTGCCTCCTGCCAGGATCTGCAGCTGGGGAGGGAAACGAGGTGTCACTGAAAAAAGTGAACTCTTAAAATAGACCCAGGATAGAGGATCATCCTTCCCCTCCCCATCTCAATTCCCATTTATTTTTCTTTATAACCTTGCCCTTCTGATACTCAACACTGAAAGGGTTTTTATAATTTTAAATTATTACTGCTGTTAAATAAATGGACGTTTCAGCTCAAGGCGAAGTTATGCATGGTTTGTGGAAGGAGCAGGGAGCTCCGGAGGGCGCCCGGGCGCCTGTCGCAGGCTCCTGCCCGCCGGCAGCGTGTGCCCTGCAGCCCGTGGCGCCGTTGCCCGCGGCATCATTGCGGCTCCCAGGACCCGGGCCTGGTCTCTGGTATCTTTTACACCTTCTCCCGTTGCAGTCCTGCTCTTCTCGCAGCCTGAAGGGACTTTTCCAGTGTGYTTGACCCCAGAACTGGGTGTGCACCAGGGCAAGGACCAGCCAAATAGCGTTGTGATCAAGTAACGTAGAGGAAAAATGACATTTTGGAGAAAAAAAAATGTATTTCGAAGCTACTTAAAATGCAGCTGATTAAAAAAAGAGAGAGAGATAGAGATGCCGTGCAGGTGTGCTCGTGCCTCCGCGTGCTTGGGGCTGGGGAGCGCGGCGGCCACGGGGACGGGCTCCTGCCTCCGCTGTCCCCAGGGGGACTGGGGCCTCTGCCCGAGACCCTCGCAGGGTTTGGCCCCCGTGTCCTCCCCCGTTTGCCCTGGGCTGGGTGACGGGCTGCGCGCTGGGACCGGCTGCGTGGGGGGTGCTGAGGAGCCTGGTCCGTCCTGCCCGGACCCAGCGGGGCTGGTTGGCCCTGGGTCCGAGGAGATGCCCGCAGCGCCCTGGCCGTGTGGGTCCTGCCCCACGGCCCTGCCCCACGGCAGCCCCTGGTGCCCGCTCGGCTCCGGCCCGGCCCTCGGGTGACTCATGTGCAGGAACTCTGCGGCTGAGCAGCAGGAAGAGCCGCGGCCCTGGAATGAAGGAGGAGCCGCAGCCCGGGCGGGCGCTGCCAGCGCTGCCCAGCCCCAGGCTGCGGGCGGCCGGGCGGGGGGCACCAGCGCCCCACACGTGGGAGTGTCCACGCTGTGGAGGAGCCCCTCAAACAGCCGCTCCCCGCAGCTCTGTCCCCRGGGCAGGGTCTCAGGGGGCCCTGTCACAGGAGGGTGTTGGGAGCCCACGACCCCGCGGCCGTTCCCTGGACCCGCCTGCAGCCGCCCGGGCCGTGTGGCGGCACCGGCTGCGCCCGCCCGGCTCAGCCAGGGCAGCGCCAGGGCACCGTGGTGTCGGCGCGGCCCGGCCCTCTCCGCGCGGCTCCTCGYGAGCTGGTTCCGTAGGAAGGGGAACGGGTTTGGTGGTTTCTGCCCGGCGCGACAGGGCGCTGGGCTGGGTGGCCCCGGCGGCACCGCAGGGACAGCCGGGATGGGGCGCGGGGCCCTGTGGGGTCAGTGCATGAGCAAAGCTCCCAGACTAGAGCCATCTACCACCACGGGGGCTTTAATTCTCCCAGACTCGAGGGCCGGAGCCCCGCAGCATCCCGGCGCTCCTGTCCCTGCTTCAACGCGGTCCTCGCAGCAAGGCTGGGCACCGGCTGCGGGCACGGCCGGGACGGCGCCGCTGGCACCGGGCTGAGAGCAGCGCCCGCTGCAGCAGGGCCCAGTCCCAGCGGGGCCGGGCGCTGCATCTGGCCCCTTCGCTTCCACCTCCGTTCTCCCCRTCTCCGACGGGCATTTAGAAAATAAAACAATAAATAGCAATAAAATAGATATGTACATCTATACAGCCSCCCGTTTTTGCCGTTTCGCATAAAGACAAACCCAGGAGCGGGGCTCAGGCCACGAGCGTGGGCAGGAAGTGGGTGGAGAGGTGGCGGCGGCGCGTGCTGCGCCCGGGCCGGGGCCTCCCGCGCCCGTCGAGCGCCACGAGCATGGGCCGGCCGCGGTGGCGCCAGCGCAGCGACGCGTACGTGTTGTAGCCATTCTCCTCAATGCGCTCCCGGAACGTGCAGCTGGGGCCAAACTCCCTCTGCGAGGGGGAGAGGGTGAGAGGGGCCGCGGGACGTCCGGGCCCCTCCGGCCCCGGGACACGAGGAGGGGAAGGTGGCGCACGGAGCTGGGGGGGCTCTGGGGCTCCAATCGGGTTATTGGGGTCCTGGCAAACCCCTCATCACCCCGGCTCTGCTGGCACCGCGGACCCACTCCGGGGTGGCACCGCTGGACCTACCGACCCGTAGAGCCTCCCCTGCTTGTTCATGGCCAGGTAGAAGCCGCTGTGCACGGCGCGGATGGCCACGACGCCCACGCACACCGACCGGATCTCCACGACGCCTGCGGACGCAGGGCAGCCCTGAGCCGGGCTCCCAGTGTCCCCCGTGCCCGCGTGTCCGGAGCACGGAGCCAGCCCGGGGACACGGGGAGCAGCGTGTGGAAGGGACCGTGCACACCGGGAAGGTGACGGTGCACATCTAGGGGGGGTGACGGGTGCACGGAGGTGACCGTGCACTCGGGTGGCCACACGAGTCCCCTGCCCAGCACCAGCACGGAGGGGATGGGTGCGAGGCGGGGAGCCCTGCACCGCACAGGGCACAGTCGTGGCCGTGGCTGGAGGGGCTGCAGCCCCGCGGCGAAACGCGGCCGTGTCCGTGGGCCGCTCGGCCGTGGTGCCCATGCCCGGGCTGCAGGGCTCCCACCGGAGCCGCTAATCACAAAGGCATGTGGTCGGACCAGGCGGGTTTTACAGTGGAAACACCCAGGGCGCCGTCGGGAGTCACCCTGGATTCCAGCGGCTCCTCTCTCTGCTTGGCCCCTGGCGACCAGGAGCGACTGCCGGACACACAGCCCCGTCCAGCCCCACAGCGCGAAGGGCTGAGGGAACCCCGCCGCCGCCGCYCACCCCGTCCAGCCCGCGCTGCGCGGGGCGAAGGAGCCGCGGGGCCCGCGGGGCTCCCCGGGTGCCCCAGCCTGGCCCGGCCGCACTCACTGCCCGGGCGCTCCCTCCAGCGCGTGCCCTCCACGCCGCCGCCGCCGTCGATGCAGAGGAAGAAGCGGGTGGCGGAGAAGAGCCGCCGCCAGCGCACG